GCAGTAGAGAGCTGAGCTCAGACTGAGACCTGTCTCAGAAACAAGTGTCACCGTACCCCACACCTCACACATGCCACCCTGCACACACACACACACACACACACACACACACACACACACACGCTACATACATCCTCCCCTTACGCATACACACATATTTCCCCTCCCCCAAGCACAGGAAAAGTATGCTGTCTCTCACTCGCCCTTTGCTCTAGCCTTCCTCTGGCTTGGTGACCAGTCCTATTGAAGTGCTCATGCCTCTAACAACCCATAGCCTAAATGGGAGGTATTACTTCATTAAAAATTATATTTACATAAATATGACTGAATTAAACATTTATTTTATGTGTATAATTGCTTTGCCTGCACATATGCGTATGCAACCATGCGCATGCCTGGTGTCCGCAGAGGTCGGCATCTCCTGGAACCATGATCACTACACGACCCACACTGAGGGTCCGCGGAACCTAACTTGGCTCCTCTTCCTAACCACTGAGTTATCCCACCAACCCCGTTAAAGCTTCAAGTTAATTTACAGTTAACCTGTACAGATCCTTTGTGGGTCAGGGAGGGCTCCATCCCGAATGGCTGGGGTAACTCGGGGTGGCAAGGGAACAAAGAAAGGACAGACATACAGACACACATCCTGAAAAGCTGGGGTTGGCCGGGTTATGCTGCTTCGAGGGAGTACATCTACTGCGAGACAACGCAGGGCTTCAGGAGTTACTGCGCGCAGCCGTAACCAGCCAGTCTTGGCAGGAGTCTCTGCAGGCCAGCAGTCTCGGGCTGCAAACCCCTGGGAGAGGGAAGCCGGAATTGCTGGTTTTGGGGACACTGCCTACACTTAAACTCAGACTAGGGAAAGGCTTTGCATCCGTCTGAGTCTGACCCAAAGGAGAAAGCCACAGCTCTGAGACCCTGAGTCCTTGACGTGGCTGTGCCCATGGTAACAAATGAACTCAGGGCTTTCTCCACTCCTCACACGTCCGTTCACTCAGGGATTCCTCAGATTCCCCAGCTCCCCATAAGATAACTTATGCCTGCATTTAGGTCAGAAGTCGCTTTCACAACCTGTTCTTATTAGGGATGAAGCAACTGTGCATAATGTAATTAATTAATTAAATTTATAAGATATTGTGTAGCCCTTTGTAGGACGAGGCTGGCCTTGAGCCCACAGAAATCTGCCCGCTTCTGCCTCCTGTGTGCTGGGATTAAAGGTTTGTAGAATAATTTCACCTACTTTCAAAGAAACAATAAAGACTGATTACAATTTGCTTCTTTAAAATTCTTTATTACATTTTCATTTAATTTGTGTATGTATGTGCTGGCTTCATGCCATAACACGTGTGGATGTCAGAGTCAGCTTGTAGGATTCAGTCTCTCCTATTGTGTGGGCCCTGGAGATGGAATCAGGTTGTCAGGCTTGGTGGCAGACACCTTACCCTGCTCAGCCTTCTCACTGGCTCAGTTCTCCTTCCCTCCCTCCCTCCTTCCTTCCCTCCCTCCCTCCCTCCCTCCCTCCTTCTTTCCTGGAGCATGTAAACATTCTGTAAAACAGAATGACTAAGGACCAGGACCAGGCAGGTGGTCAATGCTCTTAGTTGTCTGCTCAGGCCTGCCACGCTCTGCTCCAGACACCAGGTGTCAGCAGGGCGCCTTGACATTCTCTCCTCTACTGTTGCTCGGGACAGTCTTTTAAAAATTTTATTAAATGTATTTTTTGTTTGTTTTTTGAGAATTCCATACAGAACTGTATTGACATCATTTTGCCCCCAACTCCTTCTGTGTCTCTCCTTATTCTCTCTTTAATTAAATTATGATCTTTTCTTTAATTATTGTTGTTATACATATACATGTATGCATGTACACAGGTGTAAATGTACATGTGTATACACACATACATATATATACATGAGTGTACACACACATATACGACTAAGTTCATTTAGTGTTGCTTATGTAGAGGTGTGAATACTTGGGATTGGATAGCCTATCAGAGCACTGGAGAAAACTGATTTATTTACCTGCTTTCTTAGACCTCTCTTAACCACCAAGACAGGTCTTACTCTGTAGTACAAACTGGATTTGAACTCAGGATCCTTCTGCCTTTCAGCATCCCAAAGTGGTAGGATCATAGGCTGAGTAACTGGCAGGGGGCTGATACTTTCTGTTCTTAAGTATAAGAAGTCTTTCTTTCCTTAAAAAAAAATTTTTTTTAGGACTTTATATTCAGCTCTGACAAGTGATGAAAATGAAAGGAAAAGTATTGGCTCAGGCCCCCCTAGACCAAGTTTTCAGCACAAAGGAGGTTTATTTGTCTCAGGGGGACAAAGGGCTGCCTCTGGATAGAGAGGAGGCAGATGTGGCCCACAGGCAAATGGTGGTTTATAAAGGTAGGTGATATGATGAGGCATTTAATTTTAACTGGGCATGTTAACTAGGTTAGCCAAAGGGAGCTTTTGATTACGAGACTTTAATACTTTGATAGCTGGTAGTCAGCCTCAGGAGGAGGAAGTGGCTAAATAAGTGAATAGATCCTGGTGGCCAGCTTTAGGAATGTAATCTCATGGTTTTTAGCAAGGCAGAGGGAATGGGAGAAAAGGGCAAGGCCTGCTCTAGCAGGTTAGCGTCCCTTCAGAAAGAGGAAAGGTTTCAGCAAAGATCTGGAACTCATGATACTGCGTGGGGCAAACTCTTCAAAGAAAATAGTCTTGTATAATCCCAACACTTGGAAGTCAGAGATTGGGTGGATCTCTGTGAGATCTCTGTATAACTGGAGTCATACAGTGTGGTCCTTTAAAATAGGAAGGAAGGAAGGAAGGAAGGAAGGAAGGAAGGAAGGAAGGAAGGAAGAAAAATGATGCTCTAGTTTTATGATATTATGAATAAAAAGAGAGGTATTATTGTCCTTTATTTCTTTGTGTGTCCCCTCAGATATAAAATCATAATTATAGTGTATCAGTTTTAGATGTCAATGCTATAATCTCTGAGAAGTAACTAGCCTATGAAAGCTAAACTCAGCATGCAGTTAAGGATAATCCTGAATTCCTGGGCCTCCTTCCTCTACCTTCCAACTGCTAGAATAACAAGGACACACCACCCCATCCTTTTTTTTTAATTTTAATTTTTTATTTGAGGCTCTTCCTCACTGTAGTCCAAACTTGAATTGTTCTTTCTTTCTCTTCCTTCCTTTCTTCCTTCCTTTCTCTTTCTTTTCCTTCCTTCCTTTCTTTCTTTTTTTTCTTTCTCCCTCTCTCTCTTCCTTCCTTCCTTCCTCACCCCCCCCCCCCCTTTTTCCCCCCCTCCCCCCCCCCCCCCCCCGATTTAACCCTATGAGTAGTATGTCATAGGCCTGGCAAAACTTATGTCATACCAGAAGAAGAGGGCCCCACAGGAATTCCATAGGGACCCGCCTCACCTCTCTTTTTAAAGATTTTGTTTGTTTTGTGTTTGAGACAGTTTCACATTGTAGCTCACGCTGGCTTTGAACCTTCAGTAAGCCTCCTGCATTAGTCTCACTAGTGTTGGGATTGTAGGAGTGAGCCACCATGCCTGGCACACATACATTTTAACCAATGCACACAAGGGTGGTGATTTCTCTGCACCCTTGCCTTCCCAACATTTGTGCAATGCCCCCCCCCCTTCTGCCTTTCTTGATTTCTTCCCAATTTTACTAGGTTAGTACTTAACCATGTCCAAACTGGCTTCATACTTGAGATCCCCTTTGCCTCGGTCTGCTGGGTACTGGAGTTAAAGGCAGGACAACCGTTCTAGGCTTATCACCTACTTTTCCGACAGTAGTCATTCTAAAGGGTGTGACGTCTTATTGTGGTTTGATTTCATTTCTCCTAATTAAGGGATGTTGCTCGTCATTTCATATGCTTCTTGGGCATCTCTCTCTCTATATATATTTTGAGACAAGGTGTCCTAGTGAAGGCTGCCTTGAACTGGCGATGTAGATGAAGATGACCTTGCCAAGTTTTGGGACTGCAGATGTGCTTTAGCGCGACCAATTTATGTAGGACTGGGAATCGAACCCAAAGGCTTCGTGCACTCTAGGCAAACACCTCACCTTCATCCCTGGGCTAGTAAGCTCTTTTAAAAGGTACTTAGCTTCATGATGCCCATTGAAGAGGCTAGAGGCCCAAGTGGTTCTCTCTGCATGCGTCAACTCTGGGCTTGTCTCCAGCGCTGGCTTGAGTCAGTCCAAAGAGGGGCCCCAGGAGGGAGTGACACACCAGGCCCTTGCCACTGGGTACTCACTCCAGCTTCTGGAGTCCGCCATCGGCCCCACCTCTCTAACACAGGCCCCGCCCCTGGGCGCGCGGACACATCCTTTACGTACGTGGCCCCGCCCCTTCCAGCCGCACGCACCCGCGTTTCTTGTCTGGCGCCACGGTGAATTTATAGTTAGGTCATGGTCGCGTGACTGCCGAAGGCTGTGGAAAGGTACCGTCTAGAGGGGGGGGATGCAGATTCCTTACTGAGCTCCGCCCCTGTTCTTCCGGTCACGTGCTTCACGGAGCCGCTGCTGGGCGCGCTATCGCTAGGCAACGCTCGCTGGCTGGGTCCCAGCAGCGGAAGGTCTGGGCTCCGCGGGGCGACATGGACCAGTACTGCATCCTCGGGCGCATCGGGGAGGGCGCCCACGGCATCGTCTTCAAAGCCAAGCACGTAGAGGTGAGCCAGCCGCTCGCGCTGCCCCTGCGCTTCCTCGGCCGTGTGCGGCGCGCTGAGACCAGCCGGCGCGCGGGCTTCGGGCGGCTCGCTGGCATGCTTGGCCGGGTCCCGCCTGTGGCGCTCCGGCTTCCAGCGGCGGGACTGCGGGGGCGCGCCCCCTAGCGGACGGCTCCGACCTTCCCGACTTGGGGCGGGTCTCTGTGGGTGTCTCGCTCTTGCGGTGTTCGCTCCCTGCCCCTGCCTTGCCGGAGGTCTTCTGGCGGTGTCTGCCCTCTTTTCTGCACAGACTGGCGAAATTGTTGCCCTCAAGAAGGTGGCCCTGCGGCGGCTGGAGGATGGCATTCCTAACCAGGCCCTCAGGGAAATCAAGGCTCTGCAGGAGATCGAGGACAGTCAGTATGTGAGTGGGGCCACCAACCACTTAGGTGGTTGGGCTCAGGCGGACAAAGCAGCAGCTTGTCGCCTCTTTCACTCATTTCCATTCCTCCTACCCACTCAGTAAGAGGTGACCAGGCCGCACATATGGTGCTCTTCCCTCTAGTCGTATACCTTCCAGAACCCAAACATATTCCCTTTATCACTTGTTGGCCATTTATTCCCTGTTCTGTCAGACCCTCAGAGTCCTTGTGTCCCAGTGCACTCTGTCCCGCCTGGGCTTTAAGACCATGGTAGCCTACCGTGTGTGATGTGTCTTCATTGTCCCAACACTGGAGAAGATGTGACGTCTAGTTCTGTCCCTGGGTTGCTGGGATTTGCCGGCCCTGGAGGAAATGGGTGACAGTTGGTGCTTGAGTCCTGGGTCTCTCATGCACACAAAGGTGTTGCATTTGCACGCTGCAGGTGATCCGCGTATGGGTGGGCCGGCTTGAGCAGCGGGGTGTTACTGCCCATTAAGTGGCCTTCTGACCTTCTTCCTGTTCACTAGTGGAGAGTAGAGTGGGGACCACCTCATCTCTGGATAGCAGAGCACCGTGACCCCTGAGCTCCCTGGCTGTTTCTGCCTGCCTGGTCTAATGTTGGGGCCTAGGCTAAGGGTGCTGCTGGCAGTGGGATGGGAGCAGAGGCAGTCTGGAGGTGAGTCTAGACTCTAGAGGCTCATGGGATATCCGCCCTCAGGTGGTGCAGCTGAAGGCTGTGTTCCCACATGGTGCAGGCTTCGTGCTGGCTTTCGAGTTTATGCTGTCTGACCTGGCAGAGGTGGTGCGCCACGCGCAGAGGCCGCTGGCTCCGGCACAGGTCAAGAGCTACCTACAGATGCTGCTCAAAGGTGTTGCATTTTGCCATGCCAACAACATTGTGCATCGGGTTAGTAAAGTGTGGACTCCTGTGGGCTGGGGTGCAGGAGGGTGCAGTCAGGCTCCTGAGGTCAGCAGCCAGGGTTGTGGCTAAAGGAGATGGGGGCCTGGGGGCTTATATCCCTGTCCCAAACCTTGTCTAGGTACAGGGGGACTGATGCTTCTTTTTGCATGTACAGGACCTGAAGCCTGCCAACCTGCTCATCAGTGCCTCAGGCGAGCTCAAGATAGCTGACTTTGGCCTGGCCCGGGTCTTCTCTCCTGATGGTGGTCGCCTCTACACACACCAGGTGGCCACCAGGTAGCCGAGCTGTATCCCCGCCAGTCCTTTCACCAGGGAGGAGACACTTCTGCACCTTCTGGCCAGGCATGGGCTGTGAGGCGAGGGTGAACTCGTGTGGCAATCCAGCTGTGATCTCAAACCCTTTCTCCCCCAGGTGGTACCGAGCTCCTGAGCTGCTATATGGTGCTCGGCAGTATGACCAGGGCGTCGACCTGTGGTGAGACACCTGGGCAGATGAGGCTGATGTGAGCCTCGGGGTTATCCTCTCTGGTTTTAGAGTAGTCTGAGCAGCTTGGGATCTGCTCTTCACCCTGTTTTTGAGTTGGTTGGGGGGGATGTTAAGGGAGTGGTGGTCTCAGGAGGCTCCTGGGAATGGGGGGTGAAGTGGTCTGAGGTACAAGGCATGTAATATGTATAGGCACCTGACCTGAGGATGAGACAGCTGTGAGCTAGAGTGAGGCCTGGGTCCTGAGGTGTCCCGGGCCCCCAGTGTCCCCTGACCAATAAAGACCAATGTCTTGGCCCTGCAGGAGGGCTGGGCCTTATCTGGGTATCATCTCACCAACGCTTAGAGAGGGTGAGAGGGGTAAAGGAGAGCATGCATAAGTGATGGTCCACCCTGGCCTGAAGCCTTCATCAGGACTGGTGAGGTGGGTTTCAGCCTTTGGGGGACTAAGGAATAGTTTGTGGTGTCCAGAGGTCTGAGCTTTGGGTTATTTTGCATTTCTGCCCCCCCCTCCACTCCATAAATGGAGCTGGGTTTGTCGCAGACATGAGGGCCTAAGAGCTGTAGGGGCTGCTGTGTCCTAGATGTCTGTGGAGGAGTAACACTGGGAGCCTCTGGCTTTATGCTGTGTGAGGCATTAGAGCTGCTGAGGGTAGGTTGACCACCTATGTGCCCTCTCCAGTCGCTTAGATGTGTGTCCACAGGGCTGTGGGCTGCATTATGGGAGAGCTGTTAAATGGGTCCCCCCTGTTCCCGGGAGAGAATGACATCGAGCAACTTTGCTGTGTGCTTCGCATCCTGGGCACCCCCAGTCCTCGAGTCTGGCCGGTAAGTAGCAGCCATTGCTGGGGAGGGTCCAGGTTTGTTCCATTCCCCAGCAGCAAGTGACTCTCCCTATGTAGGTGTCCCAGGGCCCCAGTGTCCCCTGACCAATAAAGACCAGTGTCTTGGCCCTGAAGAGGGCCTTATCTGGGTAGCATCTCAGCAGCCCTGAGAGGTGAGAGGGGTAAAGGAGAGCATGCGTGGGTGATGGCGCGCTCTGGGCTGAATGAAGACTGGAAAGCCTGCATCAGGAGTGGAGAGGGAGGGCTGCTCTCATTGCCTTTTCCTCTTCTGGGCTCAGGAGATCACAGAGCTGCCCGACTACAACAAGATCTCCTTCAAGGAGCAGGCACCAGTGCCCCTGGAGGAGGTGCTGCCTGATGCCTCTCCCCAGGCCTTGGACCTGCTGGGTCAGTTCCTCCTGTACCCTCCACATCAGCGTATCGCAGCCTCTCAGGTAGGATTAGAGGTTGCGGTCACTGTTCCTGATTCTCTGTATTTAGTAGCCAAGCTGGTGGCTCTCAGAACTTGTGTGGGGTGGAACCCCAGGAGATGGGGTTCCAGGAGGCTCAAGGCAGTAGGAGTCAGTGATCCTTGCCCTTCTCTGCCTAAGCCCTCTCCCTGTCACTGTTTCTTTCCTGCAGTCACAGGTGTTGAAGGTGTGAGTGTTGTCTCTTCCTCATCCTGATTGTTCTTATTATATCCCTATCCCTCCTAAGTTTGCTTCTCTCAAGACTTAGGCTTTTTTGGGGGCTTGTGCTACCGTATCCTAGCTCTTCAAAGCCTGCAGCATCTCTCTTGTCTTTTTCAGCCCTTTTCCCCAGCACTATTCTATGACTTGTCTTGGGAGACATGAACGAGTCCCTGTTCACTCCAGATGGGACTCTGATAACTAATGTGACCTGAGTCTAGCTATAGTTTCAGGTACTTCCCGAGACTTGTGAGTTTTCTTTACTTCCTGAGTGTTTAAGGAGCCTTCTGCCCAGAGGGAATGTTTCTGTTGGGAGGAAACAGCTTCATAACAAGTTGTCCTTGCTGCTAGGACATACTGTATGTGCATTTTTCCCTTTTCTGTGGTCTAAGTCCTTACCCCTTCCTCTGTTGGCAAGGCTTTTTAGCTCCGTGCCGTGTTCCCAGCTGCTAGAACAGTGCTCTAGTGCACAGGCAAGCTGCGCTGTGTCAGCTGAATGATTCTGGGGACAGAGAGTGACTGGATTCCTTTCACTTATTTGCTTCCCTCAGGCCCTTCTGCATCAGTATTTCTTCACAGCTCCTCTGCCTGCCCATCCATCTGAGCTGCCAATTCCTCAGCGTCCAGGGGGACCTGCACCCAAGGCTCACTCAGGGCCCCCCCATGTCCATGACTTCCATGTGGACCGGCCTCTTGAGGAGTCACTGCTGAACCCAGAGCTGATCCGGCCCTTCATCCCAGAAGGGTGAGATGCTGGCCCAGTTCTGCCTGCCTGCCCCAGGAGCACCTGGACAGCCACGGCCTCCTGCGGATGTGAACATCACGCCTCATCCGACTCCTTAGCCTGATTGAGGGCTAGGCTCCAGGAGGCAGAACCATGAAGATGTCCAGCCCAGAAGAGAAAGAGACTCACATCCTACAGACATAGCTTCCAGAAACCACTATCTGTGTCCTTCTCCAGGGCCTCACCACCTGCCTTAGAGATGATTCTTCAGGCGCTGTCTCCTGTCCAAGGACATTGCTATTACAGCAGCCCCTCAGGGAGGCACAGAGAGTAAGCCGCCTTCACCTGGGTACAGAGCTGCGAAGGCAGGCTTGCTTTGGTTTGGTTTTCAGAGCACACTGGGTCAGGCTTTGAGATTCACATAAAAGCTCTGGGTGCCTCTGCCTGTGTTTGTATCTTTTCTGTTTCTAGAGGGAAACTGACACAGTGGCCCTCAACTCAGGGGTCAGTCACACAGAGGGCACTTCCAAGTAAGAGCTGCTCTGGTGCTGAGGGCTTCCTGTGCTGCTCACGTGACTTGGGTGCTCATTGGGGAGTGAGGGGCCAGAAGTTCCAGCTCCCAAAGCACACTTTCCACATGTTGGGTGGGGTGATCAGTTTTCCTGCCGGAGAGAGCGAGCCTGAGGCTGCTGCGCCTGTGGCACAGGCGTTCCTGGGATTCGTTCAGTAACTGAACTCCAGTGGAACTCGGCCAGCTTGCTGATTTTTATTTCGTGGGGATATAGCAGGGGGAGTAAAACTGGTGTTCTCAACCTCCTCATGCTGCAGCCCTTTAATGCAGTTCCTCGTGGTGAGCACAACCATAAACTAATTTTTGTTGCTTCTTCATAACTGTAACTTTGCTAATGTTAGAAGTCACAATGTAAACGCCTGATACGCAGAATATCTGATATATGACCGACAAAGAGGCCATGACCCCAGGTTAAGAACTGCTGGTGTAAAAGATACCGAAATGTCAAGGGGCAAGAGAAGGGAGCAGATAGAAGAGGATGAAAGAACTTAATAGTGGATATTAAGACTTACTACAAGGTTATATTAACAACTAAGACAGATGTTATAAATAAAAAAAGTTAGACTATATAATGTTTATTATTAGCCCTAAGATTATCATGACGGTATTATTTAACCCAATATCACAAATAATAAAACACAGGCACCTGTTAGATTTTATAATTGCCTTATTACCTTGGGTCAGGCGGGTGGTTCACCTACCCTGTCTTAAATAACTGCACCATTCATCTCAGCCCCATCCAATGCCATCTGCCTTAATTATCCTCACCTGAACTAGCTTCCATCTATAATCTTATAAACACTTGCTTTTATTCTTCCTCTGGGCCTTTCCACACCATTTTTGGAGCCTTTCCCCTCAGCCGTGTGGTTTCTTCTCCATGCTAACCCATCCTGGCATCCTCACTAATTTAAATGCAGAGTAAATGTTCCCGTGTGAACAAAGGTGGTTACTGGTATTAAAAGGCAGGTGAAACAGGTATTTTCAAGAGTGAAATTAGAAATACCAAACTTTTACTAGCAAAAAGATAAAAAAAATGTAGTATAGTTTGATATCAGAGTAGACAAAGACAATTGCAAGGGATAAACCTTAAACTCTAGTGAGTTGGTGAAAATTTCTAAATATCAATGCACACAAGACAGATTTTTTTTCCTCCCCTTGACACCGAGGGGAGCCTCAAACTCACTATGTAGCCCGGGATACATAGTATAGCCGAGTGTAGCCGAGGCTAGCCTCAAACTCACTATGTAACCAGGGCTAACCTTCCAGCTCACTATGTAGCCCGGGATGACCTTGGGCCCGCCCTGCTGCTACCTGTTGTGTGCTGAGATTGCAGATGTGAACTGCCCGTCTGGATTCTGCAGCTCTGAGGATTGTGCACATTGGACAGGCGCTCTGCAAGGGCTGAGTTCCCAGCTCCCTTTCGGAGACCCGCTCTCATCTTCTAGTCTGTGTTGTCTTGGAACTCACATTTCTCAGCCTCTGTGTAGCTACAGGTGGATGTCACTACAGCTGATTTCAAATTTCAGGATAGATGTGAGTAGTCAGAGAGCTAAAAATAGATGAATCCACTTTCAAGGTACTTGCTTAACACTGGGCCTGGTATGACTGCCAGTGGTGGCATACACTATTAATTCCAGCATTTGAGATGCAGAGGCAGGCAGAGCTCTGTGAGTTCAAAGCCAGCCTGGTCTACATAGTGAGACCCTGTTAAAGAATATGAATGAATGATAGAATTGATGGCAGATAAGACATAAGGAGAAGAAAATGGTGTGTGTGTATTTGTGTGCTTTAACGTGTGCAAAGGTCGGAGGACAATTTTCAAGAGCTAGGTTTCTCCTATCGTGGGTTCTAGGGATTGAATTTGGGTCATCAGGCTGGGTGACAAGTGCCTCTGTTTGCCAGTGGAGCCGTTTTGTTGGCCCTGTGTACGGGTGTATGCAGATATTTCATTCTCACGAGCGATCTGAGAAACTAGAGTGGTGTCCGCAGGGTCTGGGAAACAAGTCCCTGTGCATACTGATGGATGGCCGCATCTTACTACAGTCCCATTAATAAAACGAGACAATGACATTGTTTACAGCACTGTCATTTGTGTTGGGTCACAGTATTCCACAGGCTTCTTTTTTTGCTGGGGGGTGGGGAGGGGAGCTGATTTACACCCTGGTTGTGAATAGCAGAAATTGAGGAATTTCCAGAAATTACCCTCAAGGTCCTTTCCCAATACTGGGAAGTCTGTAACTAGAAACAAAATGTGCCCATCTGCAGTTCACCAGGAGACTTCATCCAGGCAAAAGATTTGCCTGTGACCTGGCTCCTGGTCTCCGTTACTAACTTAGGCACTCCAGTGAAATTCCAAAGCTACCTGCCATCTCCCACTCCGTCCTGGCTATGCCACTCCTTTCATTTGGGAGTTCTTCCCTTTTAGAAACCTGGAGCCCCACCTCCATCCATTCAGCAGGTGTCCCTGGTCCATCCGGGGCTCTTGGGAGAATCCCAGCCCATCCTCACAGAAGGTGGCCAGAGGGCTGTGCTTGGGATTGAGGAAGCTCCTCGGAGGAGTCTTTCCCTGAATGGAGCCTGAGAGAGGCAACATCTTGCTGGTGGGTTTGAAGGGTATGGAGGGAATGGTTAAGAGGCTTCCCTTCTGTGAGCAGAGCAAGCCTGATGGCTTCAGGGGTGAGTGAAAGTCGCACAGAGGAGAATAAACCTGCAAGGAGGATGCACGAACGAGTATGTGTGTATGGATGGTTATGTTCATGAACTTTTTACAGTGAGAGTGGGTCACAGTATTAAGGGTCTGAGCAGGGAGGAAGAAGGGAGGAAGAAGGACAGGGAAAAGGAGAGAGAATGTTTTACTGACCTCTTTCTGGGTTTTTTCTCTGGTTGCTTTGATATACTGTCTGTCTGATCTTCACACCTCCCCCTTTATTCTCCAGAGCATAGAGGCTTTAATCAGGTGACAGATTTGCCATGGCTGCTGATCTTTCACCACTGTTGTGTGTTATAAGAACAAACATCTACTTACCCCAGATAGGGAGCCAACAGCAGACCAAAGTACAAATATCACCAAAGTAGAACTTGGCAAAACAGCTCTATTGAGGTTACATACAGGAATATGGGTGAGGGTTACTTACAGAAGCAGAATCAACTCAAGGACAGGTACATTGCCCAAATGTCCAGCTTGGGTGACAGCCACGAAAATTCTAGGCAGCTCAGTTTATCTGATCTTGTTCTTCCTCTTCTTCATTGTTATCTTCTTTGTCTCTTCTCTTTTTTCTTTTTCATTTGAGACAGGGTTTCTCTGTATAGCCTTGGCTGTCCTGGTCTCACTTTGTAGACCCAGCTGGCCTCAAACTCACAGTGATCTGCCTCCCAGAATGCTGGGATCACAGGCGTGCACCACCATGTCTGGCTTGAGTTTAACTTTTTGAACTTAATCGGTTCCTTGCAGGATGGAATGTTTTACCTCCCCCTAGATTATTCTGTGTTTACAAGCCTCCCTTCAAGATGGAGGGTTTTATTTTGGAGGAAATTGCTACACAATCACTACTAATTTGGGGCCGTGTATGAGATTACCCCTATCCTGGGGTAAACCCATGAGATTTAGAGAGCTCTTTTCTATGCCTGTATGCCTGGCCTGATGCTTCTAATGTGATGTGAATCTATAGATGGATTGAGATTGGCCACCTCTGTGCCAGCTGGAAGTAAAGGAAGGCTGTGTCTCAAAAACTAAAAAAAAAAAAAAAAAAAAAAAAAAAAAAAAAAAAAAAAAAAAAAAAGCAATTTGATTAGACAGCAAATACAGTTTGACACTGATTTAAAGTGCATGGTGAATGAGGATTCTTGTTTCTCTCTGATGTCTAACAGTTAGAACAAATGTGAAATTTCCAGTTGCCAGGAGGCCCAGCCCAATAACATGGGCTGGAACCAGAAAATGCAACCAGTAGATGGTGCTATTGGCTTGTGTGATATGACCCACATTGCACACTTTAGAGAAATGAGTCATTGGGAGGAGGGAAAGGAGCAAAGGAAAACATGAATTTCCTGAACTCCCTGAACCCCTAAAAGACCTAGAGGACAGGCAGTCATTCCTAGTGCACCAAACCATGTGACTTAGAGAAGCATAGACTGAGCAGGGCAGTTTCCACCTCAGGCTGCCATCTCCTCAGAGACAGGGCCCTCAAGCCATCGAAGGAATTAGAATAGTGTCCCTGTGATGAGGGACTTTGTCAGGGCCTGGTCAGCTCAGAGCAGTGGAGCTGATCAGCGCATGGAGTGGAGGGCAGGGAAAGTAGGGTGAACGAGGGCTTGGGAGGGCTTGTGGAAACTGACCTCAGTGCTGATGTTTATGCTCTGTTTGCCACCTTAAGGTGAAAACAGGGATAGATGATCGCAGTGGCTCATCCCTGAGATAGGGATTTTGACAAGAGTGTGAAAGCCGCCCATGAGGTTGGTGTGTCACTCCCAGGCCACCTGCCACTCAGAAACATCTAGGTTCCTTTTGACTTTGTCTCCCTCTTTCCCATCCCTCTCCTTCCCACTGTTTCTGTTTTTCTTCACACTGGGGATTGTTCCTGCTGGTCATATTTTTAATTTTATTTTTAAATTAACACCTTTCTCCCATTTTCTTTTGGCTACAAAGAGAGTTCAGGGTTAGTCTGAGCTCCGTCAGATTCTGTATCAAAATAATCAAACAAAACCTGAATCTAGACGAATGTGTAGAAGAAGAGATTTCTTGCTTATAATATGCTGGGTTAGTTGTTCACAGCGCCCGTGAATGTTGAATGTGCAGGAGAAGTAAATAGAGTAAAGTAAGGGGTGAAAAATGCAAGAGCCTGTTGTGATGGGTGTCCGTTAGTTTGTGTTGTGC